AAGGCAAAGGGAACTAGAGCACATCCCGGATGGCGCAGGTGCTTGGAGCCCTGCTGAATCGAGGTCTCAGTGCTCCTCGGTGGTGCACATGGTACTGCAGTGTCTCAGCACTCGTGAGAGATGCAGCAGCTCCAGCCGGCCAGCCTGGCCAGGCAGCTCGGAGGGAAGGGGAGTTGGGCAGAGCTCTGCGGCTGAACGGCACGTGTCTCTTCCAAGGTGCACCAGGGCTTCTGGCAGGCTCGTGGCTTCAGTAGGGAAAAGGGCCTTTGCTTAGCTGTGTACATGAGGCAACGGTTTGTCAGCACATTTGATCTGTCAGGAAGAGAACTTTTCTCCCCACCCCCGAAACACCCTTCCAGTGGCTTGGCTGAGCCAGTGCAACCTGGAGGGAATCTGTCCAGACTGATGCCAGAACTGGCAGGCCAGTGCAGCTGCGTGGGGTGCTGGCAATACTGAGGTGGAGGGACCATCCCTAATGACTTGGATTACAGCAGCAACCCCCACTGTGTTCCAGACACATTCCGCACGTCCCTTCATCCTTGGCTCCAAGGGCGCACCCCCCAGGTCCCAGTCATGCAAGGCCAGGGGGCAGGGCTTGTCCGGGCTGAGCCCTGGCACTGCTAGCTTGGCAGTCCATAGCCCCGCACCGCTGTGCTTGCTGCGTCCCGACCCCTGGCGCAGCCCTGCAGGGGGCTGCTCTGGTGCAGCGACGGGACAGTGAGCTCAGGCAACAGAGGAAGGTCGTCGGACAAGCCCTGTGATCATACTTCCCCTGGCAGCAAACCCAGGTCTCCCACTGCCAGGCTGTGTGACCATTCCGAAGTGGCTGAGTTTTACAGGCTTTACAGTAGAACTGGATGACCTTTATAGAGAACGTTCTCACAATGGCAGCACCGAAAGGTCCCAGCTCAGACCGAGACTCCATGGGCCGGGGCTGCAACAGCCACAGCAGCCCCATCTCTGCACAGACGCTAGTTGAAGCAGCACAGTGGCTGCTGGCACAAGGATGTCAGTGTGCACTCCTGGCTGGAGCCAGTTTGATTTGCTATAGGCAGAGCCCAGGAAATCCGTGGGCATCGGCTTTCTAGCCGCGGGTAGGATATCCACCCCCGTCTTGTGGATATGGATGCCGGTGCAGCTCAGATGCAAATGTATCCAGACCCCTCTGCTTTCTAGCCGCGAGTTCCGCACCCCTGGATGTGGCTATCTGCAGATCGATTTTGCAGATGTGGCTGCAGATACCAATTGTATTTCTGCGCTGGGCTCTGTGTCCAGGTTCTTACACCTCTCTCATCGCCCCAGTGTCCGTTGCCTTCCCACAGCACGGAAAGCGATTGCGCCGAACATCTGTCACGTCTTTGGTCTCTTGTCCTCTTCCTGGGCACAACGTGCAGAGCGGAGTGATTTGTTTTGCTCGGGTGTGTGTGACCCGTCGCGCTGTGTGTCCGTTAGCCCTGGTCTACACTGGGGAGCTATTTCGAAATGACAAGTGGAGCGTCTACACTACCAAGCCCGTTATTTCCAAATAGCAGGCTGGTTATTTCGAAATAATAACTCCTGCTCTCCATGAGGAATAACACTTACTTTGAAAAAATAATGATGCCTCAGAGTCATTCAGAGTAATGGCTCCCTGTGCTTTCTGGGGACGTCTACCCTGCGCGGCTATTTCAGGATATCACAAGCCGCCCGTTATTTCAAAATACTTTTCGAAATAACAGTCGTGCTATTTCAGCATGCCAGTAACCCCACGAAGGTCAAGGGATGTCTCAAAATAGCGTGTTACTTCTAAATTTGGTGCTGTGTAGACACGCCAAATTTGGAAATAGCCTATTTCTAAATTCAATTGAAATAAGATATGCAATTTGTGTAGTGCAAATTTTGAAGCTTCCCTTTAGTGTAGACACTCTATTTCGAAATAGTTATTCCAGGAGTTATTATTTTGAAATAAGTTATTTCCTAGTGTAGACAGGCTGAGACAATACAACTTACCCTACTCCCCGAAGGGACGGGATGTGTGGCTATCCTGGTGTAACTGTGTCCAGGCGAGGAGTTACTTGGTATTAGAAATCACACTGCTAACTGGTAGAAATAGCATGTGTGGTGCAGACCTTGGCCATGTGTCTACGCAGAGTTTTTCTGAAAAACTTCACTTCCGTCCACACTGCAGTCGCGTTCTTTCAAAAGAACACAGGGGTTTTCCCAACCCTGGTAAACCTCTTTCTACGAGGAAGAACCCTTCTTCCAAAAGAGCTCTTTCGGAAAAAGGCGTGTGTGGGTGGGGAAGAGGCAGTTCTCTCATAAGAAGAGGAAAGAGGAAAAAGCACAGGTGCCCTGGTGGCCGCTCTGTCCATAGTAATCACAGCTGACGTGAGATAGTGTCCATTGAGTGTGGACACTCTCTTTTGAAAAAGCAGATCCATTTTCGATGCGCTTTTGCTGTGTGGACGCTCTCTTTTGGAAGAAGTTTTTTCAGACGATCTCTTCCGGAAAAGCTTCTTCGGAAAGAAGCCTGCTGTCTAGACATAGCCAGAGAGTCCCTGTCCCCAAAGAGCCACTGGGCAAAATAGACGAGGCCAACACAGGGGCGGAAGGAACAGACTCACCATCATTCACAACAGGGAATAGAAGCTAATGCTCCTGAGTCCCTGGCCACGCCTCACCCACAGGCTCATGCTGGCTCAGTGACTCCATGGCCAGATTTTTTCCTCTGGATGCAGAGGGGATGGGTCAAATGGCTGCGGGGTGGGGGAGGGCCCATAGGTTTTGTTCCTTCCGCAGGCTCTGCCCTCTGACTTGCCCTGGGTTTGGTTCAGAATGGGGGTCGAACCTGAAAGCTGGCCAGGGCTGCTGTAGTTCGGAAGTCAGTGCTTGCAGGAATGGACCCCCAGACAGCTTGTGTGCAGGAGCAGGGGCAGCTGCTGAGCGGCGTGAGGAGCTGGCTCAGGTCTGCCGAGTGTGGACGCAAAATGCACTGAGGGCCGGAAGGTGGGTGGAGCAGGCACCTTCGCTCCCACTGCTCAGGGTCCCATGGTGGCAAGTGGCCCTCATGAGCCAAATGAATGTTACTTCCTGCGAGGATGCTCCAGAGCAGTGCATGGGAGCCTCCCAGCACCTGGCTCAGGCAGGTGGGTCATCGCCCCGTTTGCTGTCGTAAGTGGCTTTGTCACTCGGGAAGGACGCCAGCTCTTGCTCCAGCTAGACATAAGAACCAGGCACTTTGCAAACTTCCCCTAGTGCAGATGGCCGAGAAATCTCACAGGCCCCTTCCCCCAGGGCTGCATGCACAGAGCCCCTTTCCAAAGCTGGGCTGCTCTCTCTGCTCCCAGGCCAGCGTCTCCGAGAAGGGAATTGTGGGCCCCTGGACACGCCAGTTCTCTCATGCCTGACACATCTCCAGGGCTCACAAACTGCCTGGAGCCCCACGGGGAGGTCTAGACACTGCCCCCACCATGCAGGCCTAGCTCCCACCCCGCCTCACTCCTTAGGCAGGGCCCCAGCCCCACCCCTGCCCAGCACAAGGCCCTAGCTCCATCCCACGCCTGGGCCCTAAGGAAGAGAAAAGAACCAGGGGCGGGGGAAGGGAAAGGGCAAACAAAGTGTTTATAGAAACTTGAGCCGCTCGTTACAATGGGCGGGGGACTGCGCTCGACGAAGGCATCTCATACCTGGCTCAGCCCACAGCCCAGTCGGCGTATTTATTACCCACGCGCGCACTCCTCTACCTTGGAGCTATCACGGAGGAGCCTTTGAAGAGTAGCCATAGATTTCTGTGATAACGTCCTGGGAAAAAAATCCCTGGAGATCTCGCTATTTGAATTGGTTTAGCAAAGCACCCCTGATGGGGATGACCCAGGCAGAGGCCAGGGAGGCAGAGGCTGGTGGTTCGGACCCAATCTGACTCCCTTCCAAACACTTACTGCAGTTTTCAGAAGTGCTCAGCCTCCAGCAGCTCCTGCTGACAACTGTGCGCTCTGCTGTTGGGAGCTTTGGCGAAAACACACCCAGGCTTGCTCGCTCTGGGGGAGCTACCGGGGGCAGATTGCTTCAGAAAATCTTGCCCGTGGTGCAACGGACAGTCGGGGCAGATATCGGCCCCCGGTGTGCTAATAGGATGTGAATACTGAGTGTAGGTGCTGGTTACTCCTGAAGATCCACCTATTAGAGTCCAGCGGGGAGAGTTTTCTGCATCCTACCTCTCTCTTTAGTGGAGGCTTTGGGGGAGGGATTGTGAGGATTCTAAAAACTGCACTGCCTAGGAATTAGATGGCATCTATTGGGGGTGAGCATTTGTATTGCACTGTTTCCCTCTCTCGGTGCATGTACACAATGAATGCTAGTGACCCTGGAAACTGGGCTGCTCTGGAGAGATTCCAGTGCTGCCCAGGCAATTAACAGGACACCCACAGCTAGGTTTGTTACCGCGGGTGGTGCACATTCACACATGCCTTGGTGCATGGAAAAAGTCTGCACCTGGACAGAAGAGATTAGAAACACCTGTGGCAGAGCAGGGCTTGGCAGCTCTTACAAAAGGAAGAGCAACGCCCTGGCTAATGAGGGGCAGCGACCAATCAAGTAAGGGTCCAGGGAAGCTGATTCAGGCTGCCACGAGCCCTCTTTAAAAACCCTGGGGGGAGGTGCCCAAACAAACCATATGAAGGCTCAGAGGAGCTGAGCAGGGAGTGACACCAGCCTTGCTAACGGCTGCAGGGGAGGCGAGGGGCTCCAGCAGGGAGTGTCTGAAGACTCCCTGCCCCTAGGGGCCAGAGGAGGACTTTTTGACTCAGCCCCGACTGGCCCAGGGCAATGGCCCAATGCTCCATTGCTTTGCTGAGGCCAAATGCTGGAACAAGGCGAGTAAGTCTTACGCTGCAGCCCCTAAACGGCGGGACAGTGGGCAGAACAGGGGTCTGGGACCCAGGAGTGGGACTGACCCTGCTTCAGACCATTGCAAGTAACACTTGGTTTAAAAAGCAGATTCACCCACAGACCCGAGGCCGAGGCCCTACATAACTTCGGCATCTGCCCTTGAACCTGAATTTAAGCAGCCCCTCGGCCTTGTGCCGCGTTTCCTCCCGGAGGGTGAATTTCCCCATGGCAGCGACATCCCCATTTGGAAGCCAGTCCTTCTTCCTGGGGCTCATCTGCCTTTTTCTCCGTCGCCAGGGTCGGACTCCAAAATGAGGGAGGTTTGTGCCGGCTGCGAGACGCCCATCGCGGACCGGTTCCTCCTGCGAGTGAATGAGCGTTCCTGGCACGAAGGCTGCGTGAAGTGTGCCGCCTGTCTCCAGCCTCTGTCGGGCACCTGCTACTGTCGCAACCGGCAGCTGTACTGCAAGCACGACTACGAGAAGTAAGTGAGTTCGGGCTGCCCCTGGTCACGCGCTGGCCAGTGTCTTGGAGGCGGCTGTGGAGGGGGATGCCAAGCAGAGAGACGGGTGTGAGATGGACTGTGCCGAAGACATGCGGCGGGGGCAGGAAGCCGCAGGTCAGGTTGTGCGTAATGCAGTGGGGGAGTTAAAAAAATCAAATAGTGCAACATTACTGCAGGTGCAATGCCTTTCCGCTTGCCCTTCATACCGCTGCAAAGCACTTCCCAATGCACGGGAGGTATTGGGGCATGAGGGGATGGCCACTTGGCTTTCTTCATCAGAGCCTTCACCACGTCATTTCTGTTGTTTTTAATTTCCACGAGGGAGGAAAGGTTGGTGTGTGTAGGACTGGTGTGCGTGAGGTCAAGGTTCTGTTGTACTAAGAGACATCCCCCTCCCGACCCTACACAGAGTAGAGCTTGTCAGAGATTTTGCATTGCGACAGTTTTCCATTGGAAAATGCAAATTCAAAAAAACCGAAACTTTCAACTTTGTCAAAATTGTTATTGAAGAACCATTGACGCGTTTCATTTGATTTTACCATTTCTAAAATATAACCGCTGAAAGGAAGCACTTCGGCAAGGTCGTTTCGCTCTTCCCAGAATGGACATTGTTCACAGTAAGTTCTGAAACCCTGCTGTCTCGTTCCAGTTGAGGACGGACGGGAATGGTGAGATGCCAGAATTTCCCACCGGTTGGCATTTCTGAGCTTCGACCAGCTCTGAGATAGACGAGGCAGAAAGGGAACAGAGGCCGGATGTGATTTGACAGGGTCATAGAGCAGGCCAGTGGTAGAGCTGGGCCTGGAATCCAGAAGTCCCGACTCCCTACCAGCTGGATGGAGCTGCCTCATACCCTGCGAATCATTGGGCATGCCCCAGTGCAGCTGGAGGCAGAACAGCTCTGCTGCAGGCGCATTTGAGTGGCACGTGCAGCAGGGTACCAGGGAATACTCTGAGCAGTGAGCAGCTGGCTCTCCGTGGCACTGGGCCTTGGCCCAGAGTAGCACAGAAGCCCCTTTTGTAGGCGGAAAGGACTGCATAAGGTTCCAGTGCAACAGAGATCCAGGCCCTGCCCTTTGGAGCGGGGACAGCTACAGCCCAAGAACTGGAATGTCCCTGGTGGGGAAGTTCAGGCCTTCCCAGTGGCCAGGAGGCTCAGGGGTGGGAGGAGCTGTGTGGTCCTGGGGGGCGTTCCCTGGTTTGAAAGGGGGTGGAATCTCCATCCCTAGATGCCTTTAAGTCCTGGTTTGCCCAAGCCCCGGCTGTGATGATTGAGCTTTGGGCAGGGGGCTGGACACAATGACTCCTGAGGTCTCTTCCCGTTCTAGGGTGCTAGGCCGGGCGGAGACCGGGCATGTTCCTTATGTGGAAGGTGTCGTGTGTCCCCCCTCCCCCCGGGCGCTCTGGTGCAAGGTGCACAGTTCTGTTGACATTCCAGGTAGGCTGCAAGGCCTGTCTGTCTGCCCAAGGGGGGCTGCGGAGCCTGGAGAAGGCTCCTGTGTTTGTGCTCTGCTTGGCTGTGGTCGTTGGTTTGTCTCTTCCTCTGCGGGGGAAGCCAGCTGGACTGTTACTGCTCCACTCTGGTTTGAGTGGCGGGTGAGGGCTCTGGGGGCACAGGAGGGGGCTGCTCTGCTAGGCTGGTTCTGGGATTTTTAATTTTGTAGATTGAAGTGAGTTCTAGCGTCTGAACCAATTCCGGCAGGAGCTGTATTGTGTGTAGCTGGAGGCAGACACAGCGTTTCTGTCAAACGAAAGCTCATGGTCCTGTGTATTGTGGTTTAGTCTCTCAGGCTGTGTCTAGACAGCAGGGTTTTGTTTTTAAGTGGCCTTTTTTCGAAAAAACTTCCCCTGCGTCTAGACTGCTGCCGTGTTCTTTCGAAAGTATATTGAGAGAACGCAGCAGGTTTTTCGACCGCGGAAAACCTTGTTTTACGAGGAAGAACACCTTTGTTTGAAAGTGCCCTTTTGAAAAAAGGCGCTATGTAATGCAAACTGTGCTTTTTCGAAAGAGCATCCAGACTGCCTGCGGCTCGCTTTTTCGAAAGTTCTGGTTGCAGTCTAGATGCTCTTTTTCTAAAGTATCTTTCAAAAAAGCCTCTTTCGAAAGAGGCTTGCAGTCTAGACGCAGCCTAAGGTGCCACAGGACTACTCATTGTTTAACAATAACGGAACAATTTGCGTGTTGTCCACTTGTGAACATCTGTGTGTTTACCCCTCTCGCCATCACCTCCTGCTCCCAGCATCCAGGGACACGAGGGGAGAACCCGAGCTCCATTTACCAGAGACACTGAAACATTTGACTCTCCTGACAGCAAATAAACCTGGAAACAGGCAGGAGCAAAGTGGAGGCACGAAATGGAATACGTTTGGCAATTGACCCCAGGATGAAGCCAGCTATTGGCTAGTCCATAGGGGAGTTTTTACCTCCAATTCGTCTCCGTCAGCAAGACCCACCCTCTGGTGCTGCTGGCAGCCTCTGGAGCGACGTGTGTTCCGTGTCTGTGCAGCCCCGAGCGCAGCGGGACACGAGGTGGCTAGTGGGGTGCCATGGCCGGAGCTCCCGGCACTGCTGTAATACACTAATTACTGTGCACAACAGGATCTCGCTCCCTGACCGGAGTGACCACAATATAAATGAACGCTCTGGCACATCCTGCAGCCCGACATCTCGCCCCCAATTCCCCTGCCCCAGCCCCCAACATTCCCCACTCGTCCCATAACTCACCCACAACTTGCCCCGCCTGTCGCTCCTGGGACATTCCTGGCCACTCACCAGCTCAGCCCCCTCTCCTGCCCCAGGCCAGGCCAGCTCTCCCAGATGCTGGCTGCCATCGCCTGCCCCGGCAATTGCCTGGCTCCCCGCTCCATAGGGTTGACCGGGCTGCCCGACGTGGTGCGGGGGAGGCATCTGGCATGGATCTGGGGCTGTTGCAACTTGGTACATGGGGTCACTGCGCTGCTCAGTGGTTTCCCCCCCAGTCGTCGGGGGCCCTCTGAGATGGGGTCCCCTCCATGGGCTGATCCGGGCTACAAAGAGGTGGCTTGTGTGATCTCTGGGTTAAATCCTGGAGGAGACAAGGCTGAAGCAGGGGGGCTGGAACAATGTGAACCACTGAACCCAACTCTAAGACTGTCTATTCGAGAGAGTCTGTCTGTGGCTGTGTCAGTCTGTCTGTGGCTGTGTCAGTCTGTCTGTGGCTGTGTCTAGACTGGCAAGTTTTTCCGCAAAAGCAGCTGCTTTTGTGGAAAAACTTGCCAGCTGTCTACACTGGCCGCTTGAATTTCCGCAAGAACACTGACGATCTCATGTAAGAAATCAGTGCTTCTTGCGGAAATACTGTGCTGCTCCCATTCGGGCAAAAGTCCTTTTGTGCAAATGCTTCTGCGCAAAAGGGCCAGTGTAGGCAGCTCAGATTTGTTTTGTGCAAAAAAGCCCCGATGGCGAAAATGGTGATCGGGGCTTTTTTGCGCAAAACCGCGTCTAGATTGGCACGGACGCTTTTCCGCAAAAAACGGAAAACTTTTCCGTTAAAAGCATTTGCGGAAAATCCTGCCAGTCTAGACGTAGCCTGTGTGTTCAAGAACTCCTAAACAGGAAGAGCTAGGGCCAGCACATTCGGTACACGGCTTCCTCTTATTGTAACTTAAAGCGAGGTCAGAACAATGGGATGTGCCCAGAATGGGACTGCCTCTCCTAAAACCATACCGAAGAGAGACAGAAACACCAGGCAGGTGAGCAGGGCTGGCTGGGGAGCCTCCTTCCCCTGGGACTGCCCAGCCTTGAGCCTCCAACCCCCAGGCGCCCTATAGGGAGGGCTGGAGCTTCCCCCTAGGTTTGTATGCGGATATAGCTGGGCTGCAAGGGGAAAGTGCACAGTTTGCTGCCCTCCTTACTCTGGCTGGGGTGCGCAGGGGGCAGACAAGCTGTGCACTTTGCTCCCATTCCCTGATAGGGACAGGCGGGGGAAGAGCAAGTAGCCCTGGTATGAATCTCGGGTTGGGGGTGTTGGCCTCCTCTCCGACACACAGACACACACCTGCCCTGAGCCTCCCTTAAGGGCCCAATGAGCTGGTCCTGGATTTAATTGAAAAGCAGTCAAGCTAGAGGGGGCTGCAGCCCCCTTGCCCGCTGGCTCTAACCCTGGTGCTGGCCATGACCCATCTCCTGGCAGCCACTGCACAGCCTCTTGCATGACGAGTTTTTCCTGGGGGAGGGGAAAGGCCTTTGGTGCTCTCAGGTCTTGGCTCTGGCCCCTGGAAGGACGGCCACTTTGGGGGGCTGCTGCCCCCCTTTCTTTAGTGCATCTGGCCAGGTGGGAGGAGAGGGGCTACTCCTCCCGCACGGGGCTGTGAATGACGAACCAAAGCTGCAGCCTTCGGGCGCTTCGCACAGGCCGGGGGCAGGCCAGAGAGGTCTGGCAGGAGGCTGACTCCCGGGTGGGGCACCCTGATCACAGCTGTGGTCATCCAGCCGCTTTGGGCAGGCGCGTAGCTCCCCTCCCTTGCAGCGGGGGGAGGGAAGCAAACGATTCCGAGGTTACCTTGTTCCCTTATTTCCTGAGGCCCCCAATCGGTTATCGAATGGCTTTGAGCTCTGCCTCCCCCCTTTCCTCAGCCACGTGGCCTGGACTTGGGGAACCAAAGTGTGGAACCTACCCACGGAACCAGGCAGCTGTGACATCAGCTCATGTCACCATGGTCACCCGTGATGTCACAAACACTGCTCTGCATTCTGTACCCTGGAATGAATGGGCAGGAGCAAGAAGCCAAAGGAAAGGTGGAGGAGCAATAAGGGCTAGTGGCTAGAGCAGGGGCAGGACTGGGTGTCAGGACTCCTGGGTTCCATCTCTGGCCCTGGGAAGGGAGACGGTTAGGATAGAGGGTGGGCTGGCGTCCAGACCCCTGGGTTTTCCAAACATAGGCCCCCTGTGTGACTTTATGTAAATCACGTCCCCAGTCTGACTTTTCCTGGCTGTGCT